GGGGTTGAAATTAGTGAAACACGTTCTATTATTAAGAAGCTTCTGATCCCAGTAATTACAGGAACTTTAAAATTATCGATATGTCAAGGAAATATGTTTTTGAGATTGATAATTTGGTAGATTTTGTACCTGCATTTTCATTAGAATTTCATGACCCGTGAAATGTACCCATTTCGCCGTTACCTTCAATTTGTGTTCTACAGTTTATGATGTTTTTCTAGATATAAGCAGGACATAATTGCCTAGGGTGCTATCAGAGCTTTTTACAAAATATGTCTTTGCACAAGAATTATGGTGGGTTGAAATGCTTACTATTTGTGCTCAATTTCTTGATATTTTAAAAAGATCCTAGTGGATAAAATCGAAAAAGTGGATCGCGGGCACCCCGTGGACTTTGTTTTTAGCGCGCTGCAAGAGTTTCATTTGGAAATATTTAATAAACATGAAACGTAGGCTGTGAAGTGCAAATCGGTTTTTGGGCGAAATCCATCTACTGTTTTTCCTGGCAGTCCAAGCGACGCGACGGTGCGTTCCGACTAAGAAAAAATTCATTCAAATAATTTTATACCTTTCCTAAAATAAATTCAAGAACTCAAATTCAAATTCGTTTATTCATGTCAATGAACACAATTACGTTTACAAGGGTCATGTGGTAGATGGTAACAATTGAACGAGGGTCATAAAAATATCTTATGCCGTCAAAATAAGAGGAAACAGTTAGGTAGTTTTTGCAGAGCAATAAACAGGTAGCTTGTACCTGTATTAAGTACATGTCTTGTCTACTGTAATAGGTAGATGGAGGTGATGCTGCCAGAAATGGATGTGTGCGATCAATAAGCAAACCACAAGATTGAACTGCCGTGTCCTATGATTTTTGTATTGCCTTTTTTTATTGTCTTACTAGAAACTCTGTTGGGTATATGATGGTCTTTACTAGAACTTTACAGCTTGCTGTCTGCCTTCTTCTACAAACTTCACCAAATCGAGACGCTGTTAACCTCAACCTCCGATAGAGCCACAAAATACAGTCCTGTGATTTGGTGACTTGTTCGATCTGTAAAATCTCGTCGTCACTTTTTCTAAGTTTCCCTGAAAATTCTTGCTTAGCAACCTCCAAATCAATGTCGTTCATGTCAGGTTTTAGACAGAATTCGCCATAAAACTATTCATTATCTTTGGAAATGCTATCCGAATTGTTACTTACTTTTATATCAGCTTTTTTTGGTCTGAGTTTCTTTTCAAGATTCTTGCGTTTGAGTCTTTGTTCCATCTTAGCAATAAGCGAGGTTGGACTGAGCTTAGAACGCAAATTTATTTGGACCACCTAGACAGGCCGCTCGGTATTTTGGCTCACTACAGCTGCAGCACATCTTCCATGGTATGACCTATTCTTGCAATAATTTATTCGCTTACCCCAATGTATTTTGCGATTATAGAGTTGAGCTGCTCCACACTATTGTTGTCCGCATCATGAATTAAACTCACTGCATTCGTAATTAACATTGTCGCATATGACCTTTTATTGTCCATTATCAACCTTGATAAAAGAAGGCACTCAAGAGTGACAAGGGTAGAACAATACTAAATGATCACTTGCTGAGTACCAGAATAGTGTTATGTGTTATGTTATTAAAATTTACCGCGGTACGCACCCGCAGTCATCCTTTCCTGTTTTAAAGTAGCGCCGACGAGCGTCTAAGGCCAGCCTACCCTCGTTTCCTTTTCACCCCCCCGTTTACCTCAGCAGACGGTGGTCGTGATTGTAGGAGCCCCGTTAAGTGCCCCAAATACTCTCAAGTGCAGCTCCTTCATATTCCAAGATGCTGTCTTCAGCTGAGACGGGTACACTTGGCAATGGAAAAATCATTATTTTAGATGACGTAAAGTATTTCACTTTGAGTAATTTTGAAATGAAGGAAAACGACGTATTTTATACAGACAATGTTATGGACAATGTTACATACAAACATAAAGCGATATTTGCAGATAAGATCCTTGTCTGGTGCGTAGTTTCTAACAGGGGTGCATCCCAACCTTTTGTGGGAATAGTGAGGTGTGAAGCTTTGAATGGTAAGAGCTATATTGATAACTGCCTTCCAAATCATCAACAACATCATGCTAATGACCATATAATATTTTAGCCAGAGCTAACATCATGCCCTTACTCAAGAGGTACCCAAAACTGGCTTTTTCAACATAACATACCGTTTGTTCCCAAACACGATTTCTCCAAACTTGCCGCAGGGTCGCCCAATAGTGGATTTTTGAGCTTTAATGTCTATGAAGATTTATCATGAAGGCTGGGAAGCCCAAGATGAAGACGGCGAATTTAAGAAAAACTGAGAGAAATTGATCTGAATTCCGTTCCAGATCTCATGAGAGACATTCGAAGAAAATTGTGTCTGGTAGAACAGACGACCACTCCACATGATTCGTTTGTATAATTTAGTTAAGTATTGAGTTGTAATTTATGATAACTAGTTAGCGTTTAAATGAATTTTTTTGTTAAAAAAATCCGACAAACATTTTGTGCCAAAACTTTTAGGACATACGTCACTATGACATTCTACTACGACATTATTCTTTCATGGACAAGTTCTCGTTTACTATTCGTTGCTTTTGCATTATTTCAAAATTGATGTTCATCAGCTAGATAACTATTTTTAGTTTATCTTCAGATTGTTTTATTTTATCTGGATCATAAGGTACACTGGATAAGGTTATTTTGGATAGTTTAGCATGACAGACAAGTAGCATTCTCGGCATTTCACGCCATACGCACCATATCATTAACATTTTTGAATGACCGTTATGCATAAATGTGAATAAATTCCACTCAGCTAACATTTAATTCCCTCTTTCAATTCTTTAGCATCTGTAAGCTTATTGGCATGTAGGCCGGAAAGTATGTAGATTTGCATCCGCTCTGAAAAATATTCTAATTGAGTCATCTTGCATAATCTGATTAAAAAAGGAACCCTTCTGAAAAATGTGCATATTTCCAGACACAAATTGAGTGAAAAATTGCTCAAATAATTTTTGACTTGATTTTGAAAATTTGCGGAATGTGACATTTTCGGCACCGAATAAAAATATTAAAAAAGGAAAATTTCAATGATGGCAGAGGTTCTAAATATTCTTCAAAGCGCCATTAATAAAATCCCAAAGCACCTTGGAAGTTATTGTTATTGTAAACTTTTGTTTTCAACTGTTAATTAAGCGCGCTTAATGTACATAAATTTTGCGGGAGCGCAAGAGAGATGCAACATAGGGCCAGCCTGCCACAGTTCGGAATGCATAAACGACAGCACTATAAAAATGTTCCTTTCAATTTGTGAAATGACTGTGGATTCTGCCTCCTTGTTGTTGCTGTTGCCTCGATTTTCTGCCGTAAATCTGACTACTTTTTTTTTAATTATAGGAAACTCCAAGTACTTATTCAACAACTGTTGTGGATAGAAACGGGTAAAAACGCTGGCAAAATGTATGTTGCATGTGCATGTAATGAAAAGTGTGCGAAAATTAAATTTTTGTTTGTGAATTTAGTCATTGTACAATATTTTTGCACATCGCTTCATTATTGAACCATTTTCGAAATGTGACAGACATGTTATGCATTTACCTTAAATAACTGTTATGATTAGACTAATAGATACTAAAGAAATATCAATGAGATCCCACACTAGTTATCCCAAATGCGCACTGCAACCATATTGAAGTGCTTGTTTACGAATCAAGCTAATGTTGTAAGACTTCAAAAACAATTTAAACTAAGGCTTTCAAAACAGGTTGCGACCTAAGCTCCTGTTTAGTGGTTATTTCAGTTTTTGAAGTTGTTACCTTAGACTTTTGCTATTGCTCTAATGCAGGATTTTCCAACCTTTTTTTTTGTTGAGGCTCCCCGGACTATAAATTATATTTTCATGCCCCCCTTTACTTTTTCAATGAATACAAAAAAACGCACATTATACTGGTACAAAGACTTTTATTTTAATTCTAATAAAGAAACTTGAAAGTTTAAATAAACTCATAACATAAGTAAGTTGAAGAAAAAGGAACTAATGTTAAAAGATGGAAATCATCTTTGATGGACGAATCAGCCTTCATTTCTAGAAATTCTTCGTGAACTTCTTCTGGTAATTGTAACACATCGACAACAAATGGATTTCTTGTCATGTGCCATATTGGTGACTCTGAATTGATGTCTCGATAGTATCGACGAAATTCGTCTTCCAGCGCTTGCAAATGAGTTTTTACGTCAGCTTTTAAAGTTGCGTCCAGTATGTTATTCTTAATTGCTTCTAACAGCCGAGAAAAAGATATAACATTTTCAGAAGACTCTTTTTGATTCCAATGTGCTTTAATATGAACCCCTGAATCCAATCATAATTGCTTGTTATAGTGTTGTTTCTGCTCTGAAGTTTCAAGTTTAGCTCAGTCAACGAGTCAAATATGTCAGTTAAATAAACCAACCTCCATTGAAATGTGTCATCTTTGAACATTGTCAAGAAATCTTGTTGTTCTTTGAACTCAAGAAAAATTAAGAATTAACTCTTCTTCCCTGGTTGGAAACTCCTGACTCTAAGATAAATCTCAACTTCATAGGAACAACTCTGCTCCTGAAATTTACATGCTAGCTATTTCTGAAAGGGAAGGGGGAAGGGAAGGAAAAATATATAAGACAAAATTTAAAATAGTAGCAGACGATACAAACAAAACAGAAATTCTATTTAGTGCATTATCACTGTATCACTACTCAACATCTCTACCAAATTTCATACGATTCGCTGGAACTCGAAAAAGTGCAAAAAGGTCTAGCTCCTAGGCTATCTGCATAGAGGCCAATTTAAAGAACGGGTTCATTTTAGATGGGCCACCTTGTATTGTAGATACTCAATTACCCCAGTATGGGAAAAGCTCGTCCACGTGGCAACCCGCCCGGAATAGAGCGTCGTCTGACGGGTCCGGAGTTGGAAGAACTCCCTCTCGTCAGTGGTCGACGGGACGAGTCCGTGCGACGTGAGTGCAGCGCCACGTCGCGGCCGCCACCACAACTATCACCCATTCACTCTCACCACAATCACCTCACACAATACGCATTTTATAAGCACGCTCTCGGTACCCTCAAAGTCCCATTCATTCTCCCGATAGGGGAGGTTCGGAGTTTTTGTGCACGCCGGGGCTGATTAACAGCTGGGAGTTCTCTATGAAAGACACGCTGAATTTGTAGATGCAAGGTAACTGGCTTGTTTAACCTCAAAGCTCGTATTAAGAACACATGGAAGCTTTACATGTCTTAATAAAAAGGTTTTTTGGACGTACGAGTATATATCAAAATTCAGTCATTATTGCTCTTACAGATGAAATATTTCAGGAATATGTTGCATGTTATCGTCTACCTTTGAAGCTTATCAATCTTTTGTAAGGTTCGATTACATTAGCCAATTAAATTAAGCTGTAATGAGTGTTATCCAATAATATTCAGTCAGGATACTTCATGGAATGAGGTGGAACATGTAACTGCCAGGACACAATGCATGCCAAATCTTTCTAGAGCTCATCAATTCTATTTTCTAACTGATTATTATTCAACATATTTTTACAGCATAAAAAAATAATGGCGTAGGTTCCTGAAGATGTTTTGTCTTCTGATTGTAAGAGTCATTTTTTGGAAGTTTAGGTTTCTCATTTTAAGCTGTTTTAAGAAATATCTGTAGTATTTCTTCATTATGATTTCTAATATATCAAAATGCATTTTCAGTTACTCATATCTCAAAGACAACGATTTGTATGGCATCAGAAGCCCAGCAGTTTTATTTTTTAATACCAACGAATACTAGTAGGTGGAAAACCAGTCGCTTCTTGACAAAATATATATGTTATGGTCATGTCCACGCAAGCTTATCAGTTTCATTTGCTGCTTAATGGTTTTCTATATCATTTGACCTTTTCCTACTATTCTTTTGTTATCGTGTTTTCTGAACAAAAAAATATTCCACCTTGGGTCGTGATGGTCCCTGAAAGAAATCACTTTCAGGAATACATTACATATCAACGCTTTTATTATTCAACACACTCATCAAATTCATTCTCTGCTTGGCAATTGGGATACCTTTTCGCAATGGTGCAAGATACTGACAGGTAGATTCCCTCACTTTCTGAAAGCAGAAAGTTCGCAGTACATAGCAATACTTTGTATGGTCTCAAATTCACATCAATCTTACTTTTTGGTTCGATTATTATTCAATTTGTATAACTTCTTCCGAGAAATAATCATCAATCTTTGAGTATGATGCTTTCCGGAAGGAATAATTTTGTTTATTACAAACGCTACAAGATCTCATTAAATGTATTTTACTATTTGACAATCATTAACTAAGATACTTTATGATTATAGGTAAAGGTAACAGCAGCTTATTTAACATCAAAGCGTAAGATACAGGTCTTATTCAGACACAACACATTGTTTTGCTCATATAAGCTGTTTAATCATGTTCACTAAGCTCAAAAGCTCACTCAATTCATTACTTGATGATAAAGACGTTTTTGCATTTGCACAACATACTTAAAAGTGAGGGTCCACATTTTTTCGTAGAAAGCTCTATTCCTTTGAATATACCAGACTGTAGTATTCTTATGGCCTTTTATTATTTGTCCGTCTAAGCTTTCTACCTGGTTCTTGCATAAATTTAGATTATCAGCTGAATTAATTGCAATCCAAGACATTCCATCCAATGAAACGTATGAGGATCTGAAAAAGGCTACACATGAAGCAGCTTTTGAGAAGAGGAGAAGGAAAACGTAATGCGCGAAAGATAAAAGTTAGTGGAACGATAGTATAGAAGCATTAGCCAATGACAAGAATCCATCGTATAATAAATGGGTCTCCTCACAATCAGCGGAAGACTTACTAGATTATCGGAATAAAAGAAAGGAAGTGCAAAGGGCTATCGGAAAAGCAAAAAAAAAGCATGACTGAACATTGGTGACGACATTGATAGATGTGTAGGAAATACTCGTTCAAACAAAACTTGGAAAGTTATAGAAAGCCTGAGATAGGAGGATAAGGACAGCCTAGGCATTAGGCTAATCAGTGTTGACAAATGGCGGAAACACTATGAGTTGTTATTGACGGAGGATAGTGCGCAAAATCATAACTGCGTTCGCAAAAAGTGTTTGCAAGGAGACGAAGTACAGTAGGAATGGTAAAAAGGCGTTATAACCTCTGTTTACAAGAAGGAACCTGACTGCAGCAACCCCCGAGGTATAAGTGTATTATCAATAGACTATACGGACGTATTTTTAAACAAATAATGGAACATGATATGCGTGATTTGGAAGTTAAAACGGTTTCACACACGGGAGATCATGCACTGATGGTATTTTGCCTTGTATAAAAAAGAGTTACAGGTGGAATATTCACCAGTTGAATTTTCGTCTATTTGCAGAAAGCCTACGAGACCGTTCCACAAAGCAAGTTGTGGACCAAGGACCATCTTAGTCGGAAGTAAGGTGCCTAGTGCTTAGATTTCTGTAGTACGACAATTTTACACTAGCTGTACTTGGAGAAAGTAGGACAGGATATCTGATGAGTTCCGGGTGACAAAAATATTACGACAAGATTCTTTATTGCACCAAACTTACTTGAGAGGAGGCATTAGAGAAATGGGAAAAATGTAGTAGCAGAGATATAGCAGTTTGTCGTTCGCTGATGATTAAGTGATAGTGGCAAGAGGTCAAGACGACGCAGTAGACAAATGATATTCTCCAAAAAAATTCTCATTGCTGGGCGCATTACGTGTGACTTGTATGCTCTTAGGAGCTCAACAGTTTTCTTTTCTGCTTGATGACGAGCTGATCTGATACCCATTAATCTTCATGAAAAAATAATTCCACTCAAACTAATGATTTATATATGGCCTCAGAAGCTCACCAGTTTGATTACCTACCCGATAGTGATTTGAAACGTTAACAAGAGATCAACAACTTGTTACTGAAGCTATTTAATCTTCCTATTTTTATGTTATCGTGAAATTGTGTTTTTTGTGTAACAAACATGCGTAAGTTGATAAGCGAGGTTCCAAGTGACATTAACAACATAAATTACAAATGTACAAATGCTGTATGTTTCCATGCTAATGATGTAACAAAGAGTAGCAAGAGAGACAATATGAAAAGTATTCCATTCACATTTATTTACTGTACCTCCGGCAGCACGGCAGTCTCTCCATTCTTCTTCTTTAATTAAGAGCCAGGCTTTTGTTCCAGTATTTTTATTGTTTCGTGCCCAGCAGATGTTAGAGAACCGAAACGAGGGCCTGGAATTCGACGAACTTCCATGTCCGTACTAAGAATTAGCCGTTCTGGCAGAATTATTTATGAGATATGTTAGTATTCAAATAAAAAAGTTCAAATGGAATTTCTGACCCTTGTCATGTTACTGCCTTCAGATTGATGTTGGTTATGTTCAGAGCTTGTATTTGGTACAATAATATTTAATTCATTGAAAACCAAATTTGTCTGACGGCTTGAGTTCAATGTGTACGAGAGAAAACAAGGTTATCACCACATTGCCTAGCAATGGTGTCGCAGAAGGTCGTACAATCTGTCGCGTTGCCATTTAATCTAGTATTTTGTTTTGATTTTGATTAGAATTATTTATTTCAATTTTGATGCGACTCAGTGTTTTAATTTATATTACAATTAACTTTGATTTCCTCTGATGGTGATAAAGCGCATCCTGAGTTAATGTTACATTTTGCGACAGCGCCAACGGTCACAAAATCTCACAAATAACGTTACGCAATACAAACTAACACTGTCTGCAGGATCATGGAGAAACCTTGCCATGGAATGTACAAGATGCGGTGTTATCAATCGAACTAATGATGCAATGTTGCAGCATTTGTGGCGATCCTGACCTTTCATTTCGACCTAAAATGGAGCACCGTTATGACCGACCAGAATTCAGAATTCAAAAATGTGTACGCTCAAAATAAAACAATTATTTGAGCGTAAAGAATAAAATAACGCATATTTTCAATACACCTTCGCTGTCTAGGCAGCTTCTATCTCTTTCTAACTAAATTTGGTTGTCAGTGTATATTTCGCCAATGTAAAATACAACAATCATGGCCATAACCAGGAGCGTAGCAGCCGCTGCATAGTGGGGTGAAGCCCGAAATACTTGCCCAAAACTAAAAAAATCAAAACATTTTTACCGTGCAAATGGTTCATACCCATTATTAGGTATAATATGCGGTAACGAAAACTGTATTTGGTTTTTGCTTATACAGTGCCATTCTTTAATGTCCCCCTCCGCTTTGATTTTTGAATAGATCAATTCAAAAAATTAAACCTAGAGGTAATGAAATTGATGCGCGGATACCATGTTTTCATTAGGATTCGCTTCGACGGTTTCTGTGATTACAGGGTCAATAGTATTTTCCAGCATATCCAAATACAGTTCCCCGGTTAAAGTTTGTTCGTTGAATAGAGGCCCCACAATATGATTTCCCAATATCCCAGCCCGATCGTTAATTTTTGTGGATCTTGAGTATGAGTTTCCCGGAAGACGTGAAGATCGGTGTCACTCCAATAACGACAATTTTGTCTATACACATTACCGTTGAGAAAAAATGTACATTCATCAGTAAAACAAATATTTTGGATATAGGTAGGATGCCGTGCAATGGTTTCCGTCATAGTCTCACAGAATTCTGTTCTACGACCAGGGTCATCTTCAGTTATCTGATGTACCATTTGAATTTTGTATGGGTGATACTTATTCTTGTTCAAAACTCTCCATACAGTAGAAGGACAAACCTCACATACATTCGCGATGGAGGAAGTAGACTGTTGGGGATTTGCTACGATCTCATCAATTATTTGAACTTGCTTTTCTTCCGGGATGGTCGGATGACCTGGGGGCCTTTTGTTGTTTACAATACCAGCAGCTTTAAATTTAGATACAAGTTCCCTTAAATATTTTCTACAGATAGGACGATTCGGGAAACGATCATTAAATATCCTTTCGGTCTCGTGAAAGTTACGCGTGGCACAATAAATAAGAATCGCTTCAAATTTTTCTTCCAATGGACGAGAATTGACCATTTAAAAAGTAGGTCAAACAGTATCTAGCAGTAAGACCGAAAACTAAATAAGAATATTTCAACTGTATAATGATGTTTGTTTTCGTACTGATATTCTTGTCACTGTCAACAAAAAATAATAAAAC